TGGTATAGCGTGGTTGGGTTAGCGAAATAAAATAAAAAATTTACTCCAGTTACACATTTTTTTAAGGTCATTATTGTGTGTGTATTTGTATGTGTGTTTATAAAAGGTGACGTCTGCGGACTTTACGTGCTCTTAGGATATATACAATCAAACACACACACACATACACACAATAGTGTTTTGGGTCAACTTTACCTGCTTTTAAGATATGTACAAGAAAAGTGGGAGAGTTATAGAGACTATCATAAACACAATTTTATCGTCGTAATAATCCTCCGAATACTTTTTTTTATAATGTTTATGTTAAAGCGGGGCTCGTCATACGTGGAACCTTCGTTTCCAAGCCAAAGATCTCTTCAGCTCTCATTCTCCTCTCCTCGTTGCTCAGTCAACTTCAGCGAAACGAATGCTCCCGAGAGAATTAGAGTAAGCTGCATCTAAGTAAGCAGTACGTGCATGGCGTCAGCTATTGGAGGTGGCTTGTAGCATCCGTCTAGGTCTTTCTGATTGTCCCATCTACTCCCATAGGTCTTTATATCTTCTAGAGAGCAGATCACCTTGTCGGCCATCGCCTGCCAGTATTCTGGCAGGATGTTACATTAGGCCCGATCAGCCAAAGTTCTGTCGGGTAACCGCGTGTGAAACTTGGAGGCAATGTACCGAAAGTTTGTAAGGAAAACGGAGATTTTCTCCGTCTTGCCCTGGGTCCGGGCATAGAAATCTTGTACCAGGTTTTTCTTCTGATAATCTCCTCCAAACTGCCTTTTAAAGGCCTGATAGAAGTTTTACCACTTTACGAAGTCGTGTTTTACGGTGCGGAACCGCCCGCGCCTGTTGGAGCAATACGCTCGGTGGCTAGAGCTGGCCCAACCATTTTCCAGTCGGTCAAGAAAGTTTTCCAGATCCTCCTTTTCCTTCTCGCCAGTATATTTCAAGCCCTAGCTCTTTAAGATGACGGCTTGGGATTGCCCGCCTTTTAAGAACCGGTTCGAACGTCCCGCATCACGTTTACTGGAGCCCTCGGTCTCATCTAGACCATTTCGGTTACGCGGTCAGTCTTTTCTGTCAGTTGAAACCTTCCTCCATCTTCTCGTTAATCATTTTCGCTATCTGAATCCGTCCAGTTATCTCGGTCTTTCAGAGTTGTTTTTACTCTCAATTCTTCAAGGCAACAGTTAGTCTCTTGCCGATCCTTGGGTTGACTGATCAAGAAGCGCTTTTTTGATACCCCCGTTGTACCTCACTCGTTAAGTAGGTCGTACCGGTGGGGGCATGATGTAGTATATCTCTTCGTCTGGAAACTCTGAATCGTCAATTAATGACAAACGTGGATATGGTGGGGAGGGGGGTCCTCGTCGACTCGTACTCTCTTTTTAGTCTCTCGCCCTACCACCTCTTTGTTTTTATTTCCTGGAATGTAAGGCGGTGTCCTAGAGTTACGGTGAAATTTTCTCCAGTTTTGGGCAGTTTAAAAGTCGTCTTCCTATGTCTTCTCCCTCTGAACTGCGCTCGTCCGTGGCCGGAGTTTAGGGGTCTTCGAAGGTACCTGGGCCTCCATTTTATATCCAAGGGTGCCGTTGACGTTCCCACCCTCGTGTCCATCCTCAACAGTCCCAAATGTTGGTTGGACTGCGGTACCAAAGGGTTGAGAAACATAAGTATCTGCCTTTGTGTACCCTGGTTAGGCAACAAGGTATAGATATGCTGCTCAGAGTGTTATGCCATCTGCTGTGGGAATAACGGTACATTAGTGAGTACCCATGGTTTTAGACACGGTGTTAAGTGGCCTATCTTATTTAATAGGTCCCCACTTGTCCCTAGTGCTATGGCTCCCGAGGTTGGTGTCGTGAATGACCTTGAAGTCGTACACGTTGTCGTGGTTAGCGTCAATGTAGTGCAGGACGTTGGGGCCCGTGACATATCTTGCGTGGGGTGTGAATACCAGCTTGAATCCAGCCTGTTACCCCCATCCCACGTCTGAGAAACCTCCTCCCGCAGTTCCTTCCGTTTCTATTCCCCACTCTGTCTTACAGCCTTTGCCAAAGCTTCCAGAAATATGTGAGTGCGTTTGGCTTGAGCCTGATGCTCCATTTCCTCCGCAGTTACTGCATTAAGATTTAACTTACACCGCGATGCCATCTTGGATGTCATATTCCCCTCCAATAATTCTCCAGAGCTGTGCCCAGCAGCTTCTGGGATTTGTTTCTCGTCCTCATATATCTCCTTGTTAAGGCTAACTGGCAGCTGAAAGAACTAAGTCTCCCTCTTCCAAAGGTATCTCGTCATTTTCCGGGTACGCTTTGATCAGACAGTAACGAAGTAATCTATCTCTCTGTACTTATTCGTCTCCTTGGACACTCAATTTCCTAATTCTCAACTTACCGTCAAGCTTGTCTCTTGGCAGGTTATTGACTAAACGTTTGATGTGATGGCCCTGTCGAGACCCCTTCAACAGCCTCTCGACTTCGTCTGATCTTGCGGCCATCATACGCTCTATCTTACCACAAAGCTACAGTACTGTCGTTGGCAGTTAACCAAGTATGAGCTCACGGTCTAACCTGCCAGTCACAGAGCCTCCAGAGGTGCAGCCGATTTGACAGCGTGGGTCTACTCTGGACTCACGTATACGAGTCTTCAAAAAAAGTTATAGTGTAAGCAACCAATGCTTGCCATACAAGCTTACTTTCTCTCTTTAAGATGGTATAGTTCACAGAGCTTCCCAAGGAATCTACCGTTGGCACAGCGTAGATACAACCTGAGCTCACGTTACGTCATAATTCACTATTACTAATAGTGTTGCAGATACTTACTAGTTTACTGCAGCACCTCAATGTGGCACAGCATTCGGAGGCAAAATAATCGTGTAGCACGCAACACTTCACCTTAGTATAAAGTTACTTTATGCGTGGGGCGATACGATTTCCAGCGCCAAGGCCCATAGATAGACTCACGATACAAATATTAAATGGGTATAGATTAATGCCGTACTCGACTATTAAGTAATTCAGTTTAATGCCCTCTATCCCAATTGACTATTACTAGGGACTCGTACAATCTATCTGGAATCTTTTTATTTTATGTCCGGCAATCACTAGGAAATCTTACTTACCTTACCCTGATCGGGACACCTGACTTGTACCCTATCGTCCAAGTACACTGCCTCTAGGGCATTAACTAACCATACACGAAAATCCAGTAACAGTCATCCAACATAATTTTACTAATTACTTCCTGTCTTCACATGCGCTCCCATACCCTCACGCAAGTAAAATAAAATCCACTTTTTTAAAACCCCGAGAACTGAAAACCTTTTACAACTATGCTACCTTAATCTTGACCTACTCCCTGATCCCGAATGTGCTCGTCGCTTCCACAAGGGATGCCAATTTGTTACGTTGTTTTCTGTGAAGGAGTTCCACGATCCGAAAACAGGCTTTTTCGGTCGTGATCTCTCTCTGTGTCCACTTCCTTATCGTCCTTCACTAACCAAAACAAAGCGCACGCCGAGCGCTCTCGGCTCCGTAAGGACAGGGGAATGATAACTAATTTAACACGGAGTCTAGGACTACTCAAGGCTCTATATTTTCTCACAATTACACTGCTCGATGATGTCGGCAATTCAGTGGCTATGGCGTGAAACGATAACCGCGATCGCACGAGCACTTCCGCTCGTCGTTCCTTGGATTGACACGTATTTTACGAAATGGCCACACTCTTTGGCCCCATATCCACAACACTATACTCCCGTGCTCACACACACTCTCTCTCTCTCTCTCTCTCACACACACACACACTGAGCTCGGCTCATGAAGTCCCTGCTCTACTCTCTCTCACTCTTATACACGACTTCTCTATTCGTCCTAGACCTGGAATACTCTACTCCGCCTTGCCCTCTCTCGAACCCGAAAGATCAGAACACCCCTACGTCGTCCTGACGTTTGATAGATCCCGACCGTGAACTTTCGTCTCGGGCTCCAGGGTGGGTCTCTGGTCTCTCTCTCGCTCTCTCTCGGCCATTCGGGTGAAATGCCCTTGGCATAAATAAATTAGCTTTCAAAAATCTCTCTGGCGGGAAATTTGGCCCTCGACAACAGTCTGGTCCTTTCGTTTACCTCGACTTGCTCACGCGACCTCAACCTAGTTGCTCACATACTCGGTCTTGCATCCTGACGCTCTCGATGCGGTCCTCTGCCTGATTTTCGCCGTACTACTCTAATCTTCTCGAGTCTTTTCCTGTCTCTTTCGCTGCAGCCGCTGTTGCGATTGCGAATTCGGCTTGGCGCATTTCCTTCGCTTTGGATGCAAAGTAGGCCCTTGCGCCACTCTTGCAATTCTTAAGGTAACCTAAATAATTTTAATCTAGTGACCACTAATATGTTGACATATAGAGCATAAAAATAATTCATGCTTAAGAATTAAGTCCTAAGTTCGCACAAAACGTTCTTATAGCTTTTCTCTGCTAATTGTATCAAGATTGTTGAAACAATTTGTGATAAAATGTGAAAAAATGTTCGTCTTGATTTAAGTAATCAAAGTGATATTTATAAGTGGTAAATCATTTAAATTTTACTGAAATTTTTTTTTTTAATCTTTGTTTCTTGAAACAAAATGCGGTATTTCTCCGTTAGTTATCTGTTTATTTATAAGCACAAGCTGGCGTTATTGTTTGACAGTTTTCCTTTATAAATTTTTTTTTTTTTTTTTTTTTGAAAGTATAAGTTTTTATTTTTCTACATTCGATCTATTTTATGTTAAATAGTCAAGAATGCTATTAGATTTTATTTAAAAAAAAAATAGTTTCGGTATCTCTTAAAATTAATTGAGTTACTGTAAAGACTGATTGTAATAGTTTGTATGGAAAAAATTAACAAGATCTTAGTTTTTGACCAAGCAGACTAAAAACACAAAATGCTTATATTTCAAACTCTGTCCATTTACTAAACTTGTGTACAACTCATATTTTCGTAATGTTTTAGATTTAATCAGTTGGATTTTTTCAGGAGAGTATTACATCGGGACGTAAAGCCACAAAATCTTTTGATCAGTGAAATAGGAGAATTAAAACTTGCAGATTTTGGTCTAGCTAGGGCAAAATCTGTCCCGTCGCATACTTATTCGCATGAAGTTGTTACTCTTTGGTATAGACCCCCAGATGTGTTACTTGGTTCTACAGAATATTCTACTTCATTAGACATGTGGGGTGTAGGATGCATTTTTGTAGAAATGTTAACAGGAGTCCCCACTTTTCCTGGAGTTCGATGTACTTACGATCAATTAGATAAGATTTTCAAGATTCTTGGAACACCTACTGAAGAAACCTGGCCAGGGGTTACACGATTGCCAGGATACAAGCCTAACCGATTTGCCTTTTATCCACTAAAAAAGCTTGGAATTTCATTCCCGAAATTATACGATGTAGCTGACGTTGATAACATGGCATCATCACTTTTGCAACTGAATCCAGATAATAGGATTGGTGCTCATGATGCTTTACATCATCCTTATTTTTCTTCGTTGCCAATCAAAATTTATGAGTTACCAGATGGTATGTTATTAATAGTTGAATATTATATATATTTATATAATTAGTCGTTATTTATATCCTTAGTTATTTGTAAGACTTGCGTAACCTTTTTTGTTTTATTTTTAGTAATAAGGCTTTAAGAAATCCAAATTTTCATGTAGTTTAACTTTTTTTTTCTTAGTTTAATATGTTGAATAATGTTAAATCAAGGAGATAAAACTGTGAAAAGAATGCTAGGAGAGATGAAGCTCTAACTATATTACGTCATATGTTATAAATATAAAATGGTTAGCTGAATATCCATGCTTTTACGGTTTCCCTACTTGACATAAAATTACTTTTAATTGGTTTGACTTTTTCATTAAAAAACAAGTGAAGTTCAGGTAGATTCTTCCACTTTCAATTTAGTTGTAAGGTACCAAAAATACAGTTTTGCTGTGTTTCAAAATTTCTAAATGTAGGAGCATGAAATTTAATATCCATGTATTTTCACAAACCTTGACATTTTTTGCCATTTACTTCATGCATAACTTTATAACCTAGTGTAAATTATGGAATATTGACGAGTCTGTAGGAGTACAGTCAGATTCGTACTACCCCTGACTTAAGTTACGACGCTTCTCGAGATGTACGTGTAGTTTAAAGTGCAATTGTAAATCTCAATAATACTTCCATAGAAACGATAATTCGCCAATACCTTAAAATCGCTACTAAGACGTAATGCTTAGAAGATCAACCGATACAACGACACTGTATGTACATAAAGAATAACTCTTAGGACGCACTGCCCAAAAGATCCACTTATTATGCAACTTGTACTACTAAGACTTCTGATAACAGGAGTGAGCTAGGAGCCATTAGTATAATACTTAAAAATGTTTTTCTATGTCATGAATTTTTTTTCGAAACTCTGCACCTATGAACTTCCTATGCAGCATGTTTTGATTTTACTGTCTCTTTCCGTATTAACTTATAAATATTACAGTTTTCGTGTGTGCAAATTTTTACTACTATTTATAAGAAGGTCAGAACTTCAATTTTAAAATGGTCTGTTACTGAACTCGGTACTATAAAAAATTAAATGGTATCGAAAATTTCCAATCTAAAAAAGATAAAAACAATTTTTAAAAAATTATGTTACTGTGGAAAAGAGAGAGAGTGAGTGAGAGAGAGAGAGAAAGAGAGAGAGAGAGAGAGAGAACGTGAAGAAGACCATAAGTACCTGATCCAAAATTGTACCTTGGCTGTAACAGGAGCTCATTGAAGGTATTACAGACCCGTTACAATTTCTAATTATGCAGGACTTAGTCGTGGATGAAGAATATAGCAGCTGTAAATGTTTATAACAGAGTAAGAGGATAAGAGAGAGAGAGAGAGAGAGAGAGAAAGAGAGAGAGAGAGAGAGAAGATACCGCCACTGGAAAATTCGGTGGGCCTCAATCACTCTGACACTTACCTCTGTACAGAACAGTCTCCAATTAGTTCTGAGAAATCGTGTACTTAGCTCGTCTTAGATAATTTTAATTGGTTTTGAGTTTATAGAGCTTTTGTTGTACCAAGACGCCTTCACGTGTTTTTGCGTATACTATTCTTTTTGTTTGTCCAAATCATTAAATTAAAGCTACGTGCTGCGTCAACGTTCACGATCTGTAAGCACCCACAGAGAACATCCTCATTCATATAACCGTGGTACGAAGTCGAGAAGGAGAACAGTGCAATAAATCATGTGTTTGTATTTAATTTTTTAACTCCAGCCTATCCTATACTCTGCTAATTAACGTAAACTCTGTCAACGATTAAATTCTGTTTTTTGTAATAATTCAGTCTCATAATCAGCTGTTAAAGCATTATATTTTAATCAAGACGTTTGTTTTTTCTGCATCATTGTGTTAGCTTTCTCAAATTAATTTTATATTTGCATCGTAGCTCCCTTAATTATCATTAATTAATAAGTCAATTGGCTTTGTGAAATATTCGCAGTCATTTGGGTGGCATAAGACCCCTGTACCAAAACTCAAGTACAAGAAATTTATTATAAAATCTCATTAATAAAAAAAAATGTATACCTTTTAGATTCATTCGATACTTTAGTATAATTATAATGAGCTTTTAATTGTGAATAAACTATTACGTCAGAAAGTTTAGAGATAAAAATAACTTTAATTATCATTTAGTAATTTCACTAGTTATTTGCATATAACTGTCAAAAAGAAAAAAAAGTTAAAAGTAATTCAAAATATGTTATAGAAGTATAATTTTTTCGAAAAGATTGTATCTCACTGAGTTAGGAGCTCATCTAAAGTATGGCATTGCCAATACGGCATGGGTTCAAGTCGTCTTCAAGTCAGCTTTTCAGAAGATGAATCTGATTAGGATTTATTTTCAAGGCACTGCTTGTCAGGGTAACATTGGTTTAAGTTTTGTTCAGCACCTGGGGAAGGAAGCAAGGTCAGTTTAAAAGGTTAGTATAAGGACTAGGGTTCAGAATAAAAAAATAGATGCAGAAGGAAAAATTAGGAAAAAAAAGTCAGAAAGGCTATACGTTACAAGAAACACTCATTTGCAAAACAAGGTTTGTACAGTACAGTAGAAGTATGTACAAGTTGTGTACAGAATCTATTAGACAAGAAACCTAATTAAGATGTTTTGAAAAGTACATGAGACTTTATAGGAAGCCTAAAATGGCATTAAAACTTTGTAAAGGTATAGAGTTATATGTGAATACTAGTGGGGTCACTTCTCCGTACACGCTTCGCAAGTCAACCCCCATCGATGGATTATGACTTTGAGAGTTTTTAAACTTTTTCAGAATGTTTCTTGCTTAGTTTTTGACTATTGTACTAACTACTTTTATAGTGTTCCAGCGATGACTACTGTAAATTAAGACATTACAAAAATTTAATTGGAATAAAAATTAACAGATTTTTTATACTAACATTATGAAAAATCTCACCTTTTTAAGCACGTTGCATTTTTTCTAAAAACATGCTGTAATGTTTCAATAAGTATCCAGGACCTTACAGTAAATTTTTTTAGCTAACTTTTATCTAAATATAAACATTTTGGGTATCAAATAAAAGATGTATTAATCTGACAGAAATATTCTCATAAATTTTTTCAAGAAGTAAGACATTTTAAATAAAAATGTTAATGATGAGTAATAGAAATGATTCAGACAAGAAACACAAAGTAGATGAAGCATTGACTACTATAAATAATATTTGGATGTAAAACAAGTAAAAATTGCTTATGAAACATAATAAATGTAAGTAATTTAACATAAATTTAGAAAACTTTTTTTAAAAATTGAAAAGAATACGTATGGAATTATCTCGCAGTTGCTAGGACAGAACGACCTGACAGGCATAGCGATCTTACAAATCGCACAGTACCCCAAAGAAAGTATACGTAATTAAAATTGTGCTTGTCGATACATATGAAATCAAATAAAAACAACATTCCTTAACAGTAAGAAACAGTAACAAAGTATACATGTAGACAAAAGGATGGAGGTGTGCACAAATCATGGTCCTAAACTAAAAGTGGTCTGCTTAAAAGTGGTGGCTCTCAGGAAAGGTACCACTTATAAGAAGTTGCAAATAATATATAGAATTTTGGTGTGGAAAGATGTATAACATGTAACTAATGGCCAGAATTAAATTACATTTTGATTATTATTTTATTTTTGACTTGACGTGAAAAAATTCTACATGTATTACTAACTTCTTTTGTCAAACTGTCTGTTGATATTGTTATCTAGTAATGTAATGAAAATCGTTTTAAAGAACTCTCATTTGTACTAATTATGTTCCTGATCCAGAACTGCCACGGCAATCTAGTGTGCATCCAACATGGGCAAGCACAAAGAGTTACTCGGGCTTAGTGCTTGCCCTGGTGGCAGGTGCCACTAAGTAGGAAAACTATTATTTCAAAACAATTGACATAGTTAATAAATGCTGATTATTTATTTGGAAAAAAGTTTTATATCAGGCTGTGGGAGGGGATCGTTATAAACTATACCTTAATTAATATATAATTCACTAACACACACACATGGAAACGCACACACTGTAAGATTTTTATATATTTTGAGTAATGCTTTGCCCCTCCTGCGTGCTCCGCGTGACAACCACACATTGAGATTAATATAAATAATAACGTCTAATAAAATATAAAAGTTTTCATCATACTTATTGTAAATATCTGCTACATAAATATTCAGAAAATTAGAGCAATGTGTTATCAGATACAACTCATGTGAGATATCACACAATATGATTGTACGTAACAGATTTTTGTTCTTATTATGGTGAAAAATTGAGAGAAATTGTAACAATGGTATTAAATGTGTAATCGAAGGACCAAATTTTTGATTCAAAAGTTCATTTAAGTTTTCTTCTCTAAGTCTAATATTCTGTCGCAGTAAGAATCTTGATCGGTGTATAAATTATAAGTGAGAAAATTCGTATTAACATTAGTTTTCTAAATTTGTAAAAAATCAGGTTGGGTCTCGGGACCCCCCAATAGAAGTGAATTTTCCAACTCAAATGTTATCAAACTCGGTATAATAAAAATTGAGTAAGTTAGAATACACCTAATTTCAATAGCTCTTTAAGAATCCCATATTAAAATAGTTGAAATTTCAATATCATTACGTATTCGAGCACGCGTGAGTATAGAATACATAAAGCTTAACATACTACTTTTGTTATGATTCGTGCATTTTAAGTACCTCCATGTGTGCTATGATATATGTAATACATGTACGAATTGTTTATCATGTGTTACATGGAGGCTGCGCTCGACGTACCCTTTTTTTTCCTCTTCTCCTCTTCTTATCTTCGTAAGGCCGCGTTTTCGTATCAAGCTAAATGACATACACTCACACATACACCAAGTATCGAAGCTAAGGCTTCGTGACACACATATAAGGAAAGACCGAGTAAGACAAAGAAGAACTAGTCTACATCTCCCTCCCTTCTTATGCGTCGATATTGACTGATGAAACTTAATAATTATTTTCTATCCTTCTCCTCTTCTGTGTCTTAACCATTCGTAAATAAGCCAACGCTCGAGCCAGGATGTTGATCCACACATCAGCCAGCGTTCATGCAACGAGACTTGACAACAGCATGCTACACTTCTACCACTTTCTTTCTCTAACACTTACAATACCCTAAGACGCCAAGCCGAAAAATAACATGAACTGTAATATGACCTAATTTCGATAAGCAAGCATTGGGACCAGTATCGTTACTATACTGTATTCTTTAGCAAATAAGCGACACCCCAAAACCAAAACAGCATATGTAAAGTAAGACGGAAAACAAATAGGAAATCTCTCCCTCTCCCTGCCACGAGATGATACAGACTAATTCTAAGAACCTATGTGCATCTCATCGTCTCTGGCCGTAGTGGCAATAATAAGGAGGCAAGATCTTCGGCTATAGAAGCCCATGGCCTCCTGCACGAGCAGCTCAGTCTCAGAAAAATTCGTTCAATGGTCAGGCCAGCTTGGGTGTATACCTAGAGCAGTAGCCAGACTAAAGGCATACGACCTGGAGAACCCGGTCCATGCATTCAATGGCCAGGCCAGCTTGGTAAAACACTAAGAGCAGTAGCCAGACTAGAATACACGACCTGGAGAATCCGGTCGTAGTCTATTCGTGACCTGGAGAATCCGGTCCGCAATTTCGATTTAAATTATATCCGGCCACCCGGATCTTGCCTCGAGAGCCATTTGTACCCCCCTTTTTTTTCTTTTTAATAAAAGTAAGTAACAATACCTTTTGAACTTAATTCTTATATATCTCCCAATAGTTTTTCTCTCTGCGTAAAACCCACTATTGCGTGCCGTTCAATCCGGATATTAATGGCCAAGCATGTGGTAAAAAAAATTTTTTAATTCAAAAAAATAATTTAAAGGAAGCAACGCTAAGTTGTGTGCCGGTTGGTGCAAATGCCGATGGCCAAGCAACTAGCCTCTGTTAAAAACATCAAATACCGCTAAGTTGTGTGCCGGTTGGTGCAAATGCCGATGGCCAAACAACTAGCCTCCATTTAAAAAATCAAGTACCGCTGAGTTGCGTGCCGGTTGGTGCAAATACCGACGGCCAAACAGCCAGCTCTTAGTGAGCCAACCCAATTTTTAAACTATACGTCGTGCGTCGCTAGTAAAATACTGGCAACCAACGACTATAGACTTCCAAAAAGGAACCAACTTACCAATTCCAAATAAATGGCCAGTTACGTGCTGTGGGTACAAATACCGATGGCCAAGTAGCTAGCTAACCCTTCTATAATCATCTATCCTGCTCCTACCCTAGTGCTCCGTCCTCAACCCTAGCTGTCGTGTCCCCAGGCTATTAAACAAAAGCTTAGGCCTAAATACAAAATTTACTCCTACGCCGTCTTCGACGTAACACATGTAATGCAGAATTAAATAAAAGTTCTCGATATACTGCACTGAAAGCAAGTACTTTTGTCCCATTACGCGGGACGAAAATTCCTTTTATTTAAAATTAATATTCAGGCATTTGAAATGACATCATATGTGTACAATAAATTCTTGTTGGAATCTTTGTATCTGACAAATAAAAAATGTTCTTAAATTTTAGCTACCATAAAAGTAAAATCATCCACTGTAGCTTATTGAGATTAAGGAAAACAATAAACATATAGCTATTTTCCATTGTAAAACTGTAATTTTTTATTTCATTCGTTTTCTATAATAACTTATAACTCAATATTAAAATTTACCCGTGCTTAACTAATTTCTACTGATCTCAAAATTAATAAAAAGAATGTAGGTTTTGGTCGCGTGATAATTTTTTTTATCATACTTTATAGAGAACAGAAAATAAATAAATGTATAGGTACGATATGAAGGTTGTAGCCTTGCCGTTGAGATATGAATCATTATTTTCAGAACTATTACGATTATTTATATAAATCCGTGTATAGTACACTACGACACTAGGCCGGAAAGTCTGAGTTTATGGCTGCGAGGTTATGACGGCCTTGGCTTCGCCTCGGCCGTCATAAGTCGCATGCCGTCGACTCAAACTGTCTGGCCGAGTATCGTATAGTACTTTTCTCCCTCCCCTAGCCGAAAGTACGTTTGAAATTAATAATACCTGTACATACAGCATATGCTGATATGTATAGGTATTAAGGATGTATGCGCAACCAGTGTGAGCTTACGAGCTGACAGCTCATTGCTCGATTATGCTTGCTGCTGCGCTGCCGTGCACGTGTGTGTTGACGCCCGCCGACCCTGTGATGGCCGAGCCGAAGGCGAGGCCTTGCAGGTCAGGGGCGGGCGTCAAAAAGCACATGCACAAGTTAACAAAATAAAAAATGAAGTCATAGGAATTGGCACAAAATCACAAAGAAAATAAAATATAACCATCTAAATTTTATTGAACTACGAAAACAAGTTTTAATTTTTTTTATTATTTAACATAAACAATAGTTTATTATTTATTAATTACGGAGGATCGCCGTTGTATTCTTTTGTTACTTTTTTTGATTTTGTCACTGTACGATATTCTTAACTATCTCGTAATTCGTAAACACACAACTCCATAAAATACTGCTGCGACACTAAACTTAGGTTAATTGGTCTCGGCTCGAAACGAAAAAAGTCGTGTCTTGACTGTAAACAAAAGAGACTCTTTCTTGCCAAGCAGACCGACCAGGAGGTACGTACTTTCGGCTAGGAGA